TTACCCATGCCTCGACCCTTACCCTTCCCACGAAGTGCCCGTGGGATAGTACGTCGTACCTTGCGAACTGGCTTCTTCATAAATCGTCTCCATCTGCGTCTATGCTTCTGCTATCGTAGAAACAACCATTGAGCCGGCTGTTCTTCCGTACTATACGCGGGCATGTCGGAGTAGTCTAGGGCATTCGCTTCGTCGTCTGATGACGCGTCGGCGTCGGTTCCAGGAGCCGAAGTCGGACTCAGCGGGTTGCCCCGTTGAGCCTACAAGGGTAGTGGCTTGTGCATGGGGCCGCCGTTGCCAGCGGCCCCTGATACCTGGCCCAGGAGTCTTGCGACCCCGCGGCCGAACCACCACTTTGGGCTAATAGCGCGGTGGTTGCCGTTCGTTGTGGATCGTCGTTCCAGACGTTCGCAGCAGGTTGCCCTGCATTGGCTTCAGCATGGAAGGTTTCGGTACGGTGACCGTGGCTGAAGATGCCACAAATATTGCCAGGGGGTCGCTCAGCGATGTGAGCACATGACCTCATGCGTTCAAGCAGAGAGTCAAATTGCTGCCGAATCCTCGGCATTTGGTGGTTAAGTGGCTGTAGAAGTTTTTGTGCACGCGACGTCCCCACACCTGAGGCTCTGAACAGAATAACCGCTAGGATTTGGAAGCTGGGGATGTTAAAGCCTGCCGCTTCAGCCTCATAGCGGGCTATCTCAAAACGCGCCAGTGTCTGGTCGATCCGTTCTCCCGCATGGACTCGAAAGTCGATGAGAGCAGTACCCTAGTTAAGTTGGCGTTTCTCCTCTAAGTTCTTAAACTTCGGGCCGAGGAGGAAAATAATGTAGGTGGCACCATCACTATGGCGGCCACCTATGTTGACACCAAAGTTAATGACTGCTGGGGGAAGTCTCATGGCTATGGTCCGTGCGAGACCTCCCAGACCACGCTGCACGCTGCCATGCTGCAGCTTGTTGGGAGGGCGTCACGTTGCCTGTAGTCACTTTGATCCAGGCATGTACCTCTCGAGCGAACTCGCGGAAAGGAGCTTGACCGGCCGGATCCCAGTGGGGGCCGGTTGTCATCGTGTCGTCTCCGCCACGCAAGTGTCCCACAACGCACCCGAAAGCAACCCATATGAGACCAAAGATAGCAACACCAATCCAGTGGCCCCGTAGGTCGAGGTCGGATGTGGTTGGCTGAGGTAGGTGGTGTTTTGTTGTAAACCTGCGTGGGGGGGGAGGCGGCACAATATTGTACCGCATGTTGCCATGCATGGTATCTTCGAAGATGTTTCCACTTGGAATAGGTGGGTGGATTTCAGGAGTGCAGTAGCGCACGTATGTAGGACTCGAGAAAGAAGCCTCGGCGAGAACAGAGGTAGCACTGCAAGTGTCCTTCCGAGTGTGCGTAGTTATGTACATTCTTCCGCGCAGACCCACTGCGCCCTGATGTTAACCATGTCAGTAGTCCAACAGAGAGTGCCGTGGATGGTGAAGAGTAGAGCAAGAGCTGACCCCCATGGGCCAGCTCCGCTACCAAATTTGAAGGGGGCCCGTAGGCCCGTCCAGAGGCTACGCCTTAGGCGAAGCACAGCTCCTGCTCTGTTGTATCGTAGCGGCGATAGTCCCAGTCGAAGGAGGTCGTCGCGGGAGCGACGGGCCATCTCAAGCGAAGGATGTTTTCGGTCTCGATGGCGAATCGTATGCCTCGCAATGAGGCGCAGTGAAATATTGGCGGCCGGCCGCTTGAGCACAAACGGCCGCGGACAAACGCTCGCTACCTCTCGCCCTTGTCCCAGCTCACTTTGAAGTGGGGCAACGATGGTGCCCAACATTACCTCCAGGGCGGTTCCAGAAGAGCCCCTGCACGGCAGGGGCTCCCCAAGACGGCCCCAGGAGATCACGGGGCCTCCCAACCCCCGAGAGGCCACCCCAGGCACCAAAAGAAAGCAGTTAGGTCTACATATCACAGTTGTCGTTTCGCCTCTTCATTTCCGATGGACTTCTGGGGCCTCGAGAGGAAGCGCCCCAGGAAAGCGCGAAGGCCCCCAAGAGCGCCCCAAGAGCGTCCCAAAAATTCCTGGGAGGCAAATGCTCGGGCTCAAAAAGGGGGACCATAATAGAGGATCCCTCTTTTGGGGGACGATGGCTTGCAGGATGGCTCCACTGGGGAACCGGCGGCCCACAAAAGGGCTCCAAAAAGCACCAAAGCGGGCCCCAACGGCCCCAAGTGGGCCTCAGGGAGCCCTGAACAGCCCCCGAGAAACTTTCAGAATTACCGCAAGAGGTTTCCAAGAGGCTCCCAGAGGTGTGTCGAAGCTCCGTAGTGGTGGCCTCTTCTTCAAAAGCATGAAAATGGTTTAACTTAGGGGTTCGTGCAACGTCTTGCTAAACCATTGGTGGGGTATTCTACGTTTTGCCGAGGCTGCACCACGCTGCCGCCCGTGCCGCATCGTGGGCGCCTCGTGGGCGCCCCGTGCGCTGGGGGGGGGGGTCTTGCCGTGGGTTGCGCCACGCTGCCGCCTCGTGGCCGCCTCGTGGGCGCCTCGTGGGCGCGTCGTGCGCTGGGGGGGGTTGCCGAGGTTGCGCCACGTTGCCGCACCGTGCCGACTCGTGGGCGCTCGTGGGCGCTCGGTTGGCGCCCCGTGCGCTGAGGCTGCCGCCACGTTGCCGCCCAGTGGGCGCTCCGTGGGCGCCACGTACGTGCGCTGGGTGTGCCTGCCGAGGTGGCGTCACGTTGCCGCACCGTGCCGACTCACTCGTAGGCGCTCGCGGCGCCCCGTGCGGTGGGGGTGTTTGCCAGGGTTGCGCCACGTTGCCGCTCCTGCCACCTTCTGCGTGCTCGTGGGCGCCCCGTGCGCTGAGCTTACACCGCACAGCGTACACCACGTGGCTTACACAACCTGGCTAGCACCACAAATTGCACAGCATAGCTTGCACAAAATAGATTACACGGCAGAGCTTGGGCTGGACAACTTACACCACATAGATTACACCACGTAGGCGTCACCTCCGCAGTGCAACCACTCACTGTTTGGGGCCCGCGCTGGCTAACATCTGTTTTCCAATACAGATGTAAACCTCCCTCTACCAACTGTTCGCCTGGACATCGTTTCTGGATGGGCTGCTGGAGATACGGGAAGTTCAAAACATTAAACTCGCCCGTCTGCCCTCCGGAAGTCGGCGGGATGGCGCAAGCCTCTTGCATGCAGCGGCCGCCCCTGAGCAGTTCAAAATCCGCCGACCCCTTGCGGGTCTCTGGGCGTGTGAGATGTCCCCCCCCCATAAGCACCCCCTGGGGCCCCAAATCGGCAATTCGACCCCCCCCCCTCGCCCGGCACGACCCACCGCCGAACGCGTCATGGGGGAACAGAGGGCCCAAAACGAGCCAAGAGGGCGACGAGTCGCCGAAATATCCTTCCAAGACGCCCACGATGGCTTCCAGACAGCCCCCGAAGCCCCCAAGACGACCCAAGAGGCCCACAAGAGGCGTCCCAAGCGAGCCCCAAGAAGCAGAAAGCGCCCCATTCACTTCGTAAGACGTTCCTGTTTACCATATTGGCCTTTTGCGGCTTCGCAACGTCCGGCACGGGCCATGAAACCTTCCATATCTTTCCGGGACGGCCTCGGCAACTGCCGAGGGAGGTCCAAGAGGGCCCAAAGACGGCCCAATAAGCGCCCAAAACGGCCCACGAGGGCCTCCAGACGGCTCCAAGAGGGAGCCGGGAGGGCAACTTTTTGGTCCTTTGGCTCCGAGATACCTTCATTCTGCTGCAAGAACCTCCCAGGAGGGTCCCAGGGAGCCCCAAGCGAGGCCCAAAAGGCTCCACAAGCTCCCAGACAACCCCCAAGAGGCCCATACACTACCTCCAAGACGCCCCCGTGACGCCTCAAGACCAGATCGTGACTCCTCCTCCTCCTCCTCCTCCTCCTCCTCCTCCTCCTCCTCCTCTTTGACCCCCCTTTTCGCCTCTCCCCCGTCTTCCCCCTGCCCTTCCTCCTCCTCCTCCCTCCTCCTCCTCCGTCCTCGCGACTCCTCCTCCCTCCTCCTCCGTCCGCCTCCTCCTCCTCCCTCGTCTGTCCCTCCTCCCTCCTCCTCCTCCTCCTCCTCCTCCTCCTCCTCATCCGCGCGTTCTTTTTCTTCATAGGTTTCGTCCTCCCTCTCGCTCGCACCCCCGCTGCTCCTACCTATCAATCAACCTTGCAACTGCACGCGCGACATGGTTCGCGTCCACGGAGGCCGGTTGGCGGCACTGTGGCGTGAACCCTCAAAACGCCTCAAAACCTTGAACTGTTAAGGGGTTGGCGGATGTGGCGTAAGCCTGTGTAGAGTCCACGTCGGGAAGTGACGTGCTGAGCGGCAGCGTTTTCTGCGGACGCGATAATGCAACGTATTCATTGCATCCCATAAGTGTATCATTGCTACAGATTGTCGGATGTTAAATTATTATGTCTCCCCCCATAACCCCCCAAGGGGCTACGCCACATCCATCGACCCAACCTGGCGACCCCATCTTGGGGCCCCCAAACCTACCAAGACCTATGTAAAATCAATGGTTTCGGCTTCTTGGGCCACTTGAGGGGCCACGAGGGCGCCAGGACCCCAAGAAGGCCCAAGGCGGCCCCAAGAGGACCCCAAAGAGCGCCTCCAGAAGCCCAAATGTTTGATTGTCCTATGGTTTTTCGAAGATTTCAACGGCCCAAGAGGGCCCCCAGACAGCCCAAATAGGCCGCCGTGATGCCCCAAGAGGCCCCCAAGACGGCCCAAGAGTACCCCAAGACAGTCTCCGAAGGGACCAGACAAAGCAAGAGCGCCCCCAAGACGCCCACACGGTGCTCCGAGAGGCCCCCAAGAGGCCTCCCAAAGACCCCCAAGAGGCCTCCCAGACGCCCCCGCGAAGACCCAAGAGGCCCCAAAGAGGCCTCCAAGGGGCCCCCAAGAAGTTCCCAGAGGCCCGACAACGACTGGACTGCACGTGCTCCAGGCGTGCACCCCGCGAAGCGAGAGAAATCAAGGGCCGCTTGGTGTCAAAAGGCGGCCTGCGCGGGCAGGAAGAAGATGCCCCAGGTCAAACGGGAAAAAAAAGTTTGCGATCGGAGTCGCTCTGGCGCCGGGTGGCACAAGGCGCATGTCCGTTCTCGCGCGGGCAGGCTGATTACGTCAGGTTCGTGTCGTGACGACCCCGGCGTTGGTTCCTGACACCGCGCTGGATCGTTCAACCTTGAACGATCAGCCGTCTCCGCAACGTCCGATCGTTCAACATCGACCGATTCTGGGCCGCCGTCGGCATTCAACGTTGAACGTCGGCGGCGGGGTCGCCGCCGGTCGACACGACGCGAACCTACCGTACCTCACCAGTTGCTCGCACTTTCTGATCGGGGTCCCGGCGCGCAGGCCTGGTTGGCACACCAACTGGAGTGGCCGCCGCCACCTGCCCACTGAGCCCACAGGTGCTGTGCGGTGTGCTGGCCCCAGGCGCTGTAGTACATGTTATCGTCGTGAGCGAACAGCGAACATGGGGCCCTTTCTGCTCGGCGGGCACCACTGCTGCACCTCCCACCACTGCCGCCTGTCCACGTCGTTGAGCCGGAGACCGCGGGTCACGATGCAGGCCTCGATGGCGCAAACCAGGCTCAGCATGTCCTCTGGCGGCACGCGCATCCGAATTGCAGACTGCGCGATGTTGAGCACCTCCTGCGACGTCGGGTCTCCCCTGGACACCCAGTTCGCAGCCTTGTGGGTCAGATGACTCATGAAGTTCGTCACGGACTGGGATCTCTGCCTACAGTGCGACAGCGCCACCGCGATACCAGCGAGGTCTCGCCAGGTCGCGTTCATGTGCGCGCTGTGCCTGTCCCGCGTCATGCGCGTCATCATCTCCTCGGCCACGGCAGAGCAGAAGCGCGCCCTAGTCGATCTGCTCGTGCGGCACGGCTGGGAGGAGTCCATGCGCGTACAGGCCCAGATGAGGTTTGCCATAGCCTGCGCCGAGTAGCCCTCCAGCTCCGTCGCGCAGTGGGACATCGCGGCCTCGATGAAGCCCCGGCCTGGGGCCAGAGCGGGTGCCGCTCCGGTGAGCTCCAGGGTTGCTAGGGCCCAGGCGATGTTGGAAATGCCCTGGTCTTCGAACCTGGCAATGCGATCCGTCGCCGCAGAGGCCAGCTTCAGCAGCATCTGGTCCACCGGCGCAGGCCGCGGCCACGCGCGGCCCCTCTTGGCTGGGCAAGCCACCTCTCCCTGCTTGAACTCGTAGAGCTTCGCGCACGACCACGCCACCATCGAGAGCTCCTGCTCGTCGAACTCCAGGAGGCGGCCCGCGCAGGCGTCGGCCATGGCGATGAGCGCCCGTCGCACGCCGTCGTCCTGCGGACCCCTGCCGACGTCCGCCAGCCGCAGTTTGGCGAGGGCCCAGAGCACGTTCGCAAGCCCCTGGGGCGAGAAATGCTCCAGCTGCGCCGCCGAGCTGGTCTGTTCCAGGGCCAGCCTCACGAACTCCTCCACGTCGGGCCCGTGGGCCTTGAGGCGGGCCATCGCCCAGAAAACGATCGCCGTGCTCTGCGCCGGAAGGACGGCCACCCTCTGGACGCACAAGCTGACAATGGCGTGAGACAGGAGGCTGACCTGCGGCCAGTGGCCCTGCGTACCACTCGCGCCCCCGGGGAAGAGACGGGCGACGCCCCAGAGCGTATTCGTGAGATCTTGCGCGGAGCACTTGTCCATGAGCTCGGGCAGCATGCCGCAGACCTGAAGCATGCACTCTTCCATGCCTGGCAGCAGAAGTGGTGGCGATTTTGCGTGAACACGCGTGTCGAGCTTCCCGAGTGTCCATGCAAGCTGCGCGAGGGACCCCGCGCGTTGCAGCTCAGACATGCCCGCCGATAGCTTCAGAAGCAGCGGCGGCAGGTGCGGGTTCTGGGCGATCCCGTGCTGCGCCGAGGGAAGCCTGCGCGCTGCGAGGTAGAGGGCCTCGGCTGCCATCTCCGTCGTGAGCCTCGGCAGATGCTCGCCCGCGACCTTGAGCACGGCGTCGGCGGTCGCCATGCCCTCCAGCATGTCCAGCATCTGGCTGTCATCCGCGGGCACGCCGGCGACATCGAACGCCGAGCCCGAATCGCTTCCCCTGTAGACGCCAGCGCGCACGGCTCCCCGTGCCGGCTCCGCTCCCCCGTCCCGACGCCGCGAGGCGCCTGCGCCCTCCTGGCCGCCCAGGTGCGCGCGCGGACACCGCGGGCCTCCACGCAGCTGCGCGACCTGCGGCGACGGCGGCGGGAACTGCTCGCGGGCGGGCTTGGTGTCGACCGCCGCGGGCGGCTTCTTGAGGTGCCGAGCCAGCGACTTGTCCTCGTCCTCGTCTGGGAACAGCTCGGCCGCAAGGGCCTCGGCGAGGGCCATCTCCTCATCTTCGATGTCGTCGAAGAAGGCCTGCAAGAGTGCCTGGGGGCCCTGGGCCGCTTGCACCGGCGCTCGGCCATGGTTTAACGATCCTGGCGGCATGAGCGGGCGCGCAAACTCCGACTGCGCCATGCGGGCAAAATGATTACGGCCACACACGGAGGATCATGCGCGTAAGCTCTGGAAACTCAAGCACTTCAGCTTGAGCCTGAGCCAGAGCTGCGATGGACGAGGACGAGGAGAAAGCATCGACGAACGAGGGGCGCAGTGCCAGCGGCGCAGGACACGTCAGGGTTTATGTTGCTCCCATCGTACTTACGGACCACATCCCATAAATAGTTTCGAGCACCCGGAAAAATGTCAAAAGAGTGTCGAAACAGTGTCGAAACAGTGCCCCCCGGGGCCCGACGCGAGAAAACCCCAGAGTTGTTTTGAATACTTTTCTGGCGCTCGACACTCTTCCTGGTGGTCGAGGCTAAAGCAGGTCGGCACATCATAAGCCAGGGCCATCCGGCGACGGGCGGGCACCGGGCGCAAGCTCAGCCACGTGCAGAGGGGGATGGGGGGAGGGGGGGGGGCTTCTCAGAAGCACCCCTGCTTCGCGCGGGCCCAAGGAGGCTACACAAAGACATACTAGTACTAGATGTTCTTCTTGGAGGCGTGCGTCCGACCCAAACATATAGTAGACCCATCTTGTAGTATATCGTTTCACGAGCGGTGTGGCCAGAAAGCGCCCGCCACGACGCATATACTATAAGATTTCTCGGTGCGCGCGTCGCCCCTGGTGGGGCGACGCACATATAGTATAAGTATGTTGGGGTGTTGCCGAAACAAGCACAGGAACCGCAGGCCGAGCACCTCGAAAAGCCCACGGGGGCCCCCCACGTGCTGCGGGCGCTGTTCGCCGGCAGCGTGCCGGCGCGTGGGCCCGAGGTCCTCTCTGGAGCTCCCGCGGCCGCGCGGAGGGGGGCCCTCCGGGCGGGACCCCGACCTCTCAAGATGACTCTAAGAAAAAAGAAATAGTTTCGCAATCCAGTTCGAGTATCAAACCGAATTCCGACTTCTGAATGCACTAGGCGGACGCGTCTGATGTCTGCAAATCGACCCATGTAATTAACAGCCCTGGGTGACGAACGAACAGCACACACTTTTTTGGCCTGCGGGTCGAGAGCGAGCCTCTTCCGGTTAAGAGCTAGGCGGGCCGCGCAAAGAACTAGTTGGGGAGACAGAACACGGGCGGGCGGGGCCTCAGGCGGCCGGAGGGCGGGACGGGGTGCAGGCGGTGCTGAGGAGCTTGCACAGGAAAAGGGACGCCTTGGACAGGAGCCGGAGGCGAAGTCCCGGAGGGTGAGCGGTGTGGTGTCGTTGGGAGGAGAACTGGCTGTGGGTATGGGCGCAGGTTGTCGGACCCCAGGGAACGCTCCCGTTCGAGCGGGGACCCCCATCCGACAACAGGCACCCATAGCCCTTTCCGGCCCTCCTATGGGTACGGGTGTGTGTTGTTGGTTCGTCAGTGGGTGGGACCCGTGGGGGGCGGGACCCTGTAGGGTGGGACCCTATCGGCTATACGCAAAAGCGACCCCGGGTAAGAATGACCTTTGGTGCGCGACTTTTGGGGGGGCGCGGGGGGACCAAACCTGGGTGCGCAAGCAGCTGCTACTTCTTCGTTTTCAGCCATCTGGGTACCCATCCGTGCCGGCACCAAAGGTCACTCCGGCGAAAGGTCACCCTTACGTCTAGTCGACCCTAGCAGGCGGGACCCTGCGGAGCGGGACACATGGGATGGGACACCTGCCGTCGCTCGGACGTCCATTTCCCGTGCATGTTGTCGGTTTCGTGCGTGCTTCTGTTCTGCTCGATGGTCCAGGATGGTCCTGGATGGTTGTCGCCGAGAAAAAATGCACACGTCCGAGGGAGGCCAAGGACTCTGTCTGCATGGACCGTTCGGACTTTCACGTGGGATCCTAGCTGGTGAGGCCCGATCGGTTGGAACCCTATCGGTTGGAAACCTCTCGGGCGGGACCGGACTGGATGGGAACCTGTCGGGTGGGGCCATGTCAGATGACCAAATTAATACATCCGATGGGAATCATAACACCAGGACTGGACGGAAACCGCCGCGAAGATACGAGTTTGCCGCAAATCATATAACTCATTGGAAAAACAAAAAAAGCAGCAACCCAGCGCAAGCACTGTTTCGGGAACATTGGTTTGGCCTTTTTCTGGCCAGACAGATCCGGAACTTCCTCCACCAGCCACCAAAAAGACCAGACGAGACCATTCAGGAACAGACCAGGACACTCAGAAACAAGCTAGGCAAGAACAAATCAGACTAGAGGAGAAGGAGCCACCCATGCGTTCGCAGACCAGTCGGGCGACGAATGTGGACACACATATGGCATAGCCTACCTCCAGGACCAATCTTCTGATAGGAAGGTTTGAGGGGATGGGTGTAGCGTTCGGTACGCGAGTGGTGGCGGATCGCATTCGCAACCGATCCATCCCACGAGATCGGTATCTACATGTCCAGAAAGGTGTGTACATATGTATCGGTCGATGTCCTTCTCTGTCGGTTCCACTGCATACCAATCGACCCCACCATCAAAATATAAATCGGTCTGACCATATACCGGCCTCACTGCAAATATGTGTAATATATACATATACACACGTCGGTCGGAAGAAGTAGGTAGAAACATGAAGTAGGAAGGCGGACATAGTACATTGGGTCCAGGCCCCCCCAGAGAATAACAACACACAGCAAAAGCGTGTGGATCCTTGAAGTAGGAGGGCGCTTGAAGTAGATTGGGATCTGGGAATCTAAAAATACCTACTTTCAGCGACCGGCGTGTATCGATATACCTATCTCCACTCTATGCCTAGCCACGGGACAACCGCGGGACGGCCACGGCCAGCCGCGGCCCAACAGCGGGACAGCCCCGGGGAACTTACCAGGACAACTGCTGGACAGCCAGCGGGGCAGCCACCGGGGGACAACCGCGGGATAACCGTCGGGACAACAGCGGGACACGCACAGGACAACCGCGGGACGACCGTCGGGACAACAGCGGGACAACCGCGAGACAACCAGAGGGCAACCACGGGACAATCATGGGACAACAAGGGGACAACAACACGAGAAGCACGGGACGAGCACGCGACACCGATCTAACGATCTACCGGTTTCCGTATCAATCGAGCGACCTCACAATCAATGTATCGGTCGATCCCACGGCCTATCGTTCTCTCAACTTAACGATCGATCTCACGATTAATCGTTCGTACGATCCCACAGTATATATATATATACCTAGACGACCACCCTGCGGGTGAAAAGGAGGTGAGGGGGGAGGGGGAACCAACGTCTCACTCAATCGATCTCGCTATCGATCTCACAATCGATCTCACATTCGATCTCACTATCGATATCACTATCGATCTCGCTATCGATCTTACTATCGATATCACAATCGATCTCACAATCGATCTCACATTCGGTCTCACATTCGGTCTCACTGTCGATCTCACGATCGATCTCACAATCGATCTCACAGTCGAACTCACATGCGGTCTCACATTCGGTCTCACTATCGATCTCACTATCGATCTCACAATCGATCTCACAATCGATCTCACATTCGGTTTCACATTCGGTCTCACTATCGATCTCACAATCGATCTCATGATCGATTTTCACTCGGCAATTTTCACTCGGCACCATCATCAGAATAATCATCATTACCATCATCATCTCACAATCGATCTGACTATCGATATCACAATCGATCTCACTATCGATCTCACAATCGATCTCACATTCGGTCTCACTATCGATGTCACAATCGATCTCACAATCGACGTCATCATCATCATCATCAACAACAACACCAACATCAACATCATCATCATCATCATCATCATCATCATCATCATCATCATCATCATCATCATCGCCATCATCACGATCATCATCATCTTCATAATCATCCACATCATCATCGGGACACCGACGGGACACCGACGGGACACCAGCGGGACACCGGCGGGACACCGCGCGCCACCGGCCGCCCGGAAGAGACACATTTGGTCCGGCCGCGCCTCAGCCACAGGGACACCGACGGGACACCAGCGGGACACCGGCGGGACACCGCGCGCCTCCGGCCGCCCGGAAGAGACACATTTGGTCCGGCCGCGCCTCAGCCACAGGGACACCGACGGGACACCGGCGGGACACCGGCGGGACACCGCGCGCCACCGGCCGCCCGGCGGAGAATCATTTGGTCCGGCCGCGCCTCAGCCACAGGAGACTTTCCTCTCGCCCGCCCACGCAGCTTCGCCTCGCCCGCACGGCACGCACGAACACGAAACCGAAATCGAACTCCTTCTAGGGGGGCTCTCCGTTCCACTTCGATCTCACCCCCTCACCTCCGATATACGGACGGGTCAGCTACAGGACAACCGCAGGACAACAACAGAATAACCACGGGAAAGCCACGTGACAGCTAGCGGGACAACCACAGGACAACTGCGGGACAACCCTGGGCATGCCACAAGACAACTACGGGACAACGACTGGACAATCGCGAGACAACCCCAGGCACGCCCGAGAAGTCCGCGACTCTTTTTGGCGCGACCTGGACGCAGCTAAGTGAGGAATTCGCGCTGCTTGGTCTTGCCCGCACGCACGTCACGCATGACTCGAACCGAAACCGAAACCGAATTCCCCCTTGGGGGCCCGATTCACTTAGGTCTCGCCCCCTCAATCTCCAATACCGACTATGCTGCATAGGGGAGACATCAATGAGGAGGAGGTGCGGGAAATACAGGCCTCGAAAGAGGGAAGACAATGATGAAGACGTCGACGGCGGGGAAACGGAGCGTAATAAAGAGTACAACGCACGAGCCGCTTCAGCAACCGCACTTCATTGGACAGACAGCTTGGCAATCCCACGTATCCACAATCATATGCAACCAGTTCTAGCATCACACAAGATCGGCACGACCAGACTGCCACGAGTGGCACAACACCCGACCACACCCGATTACGTAGGCCCGTACGCGACCAGACGAGACAGGACCACACCGGGCAGGGCCAGCGCATGGTATTTTCCGACTGCGCAGAGAAGAGCGCGACACGGGCCGCTGGACGGGCCGGTGGGGGCACCTCTTTTTGATATCACGGGCGCGCCAGCGCCGGACGCCGTCGGAGTCGCAGCAGCGG